GCTGGCCATCATCTCCTCCGCATCTTTCTAGTAGAGCATTCTAGAATCCCTAAAAAATGTATAACGACCGATTTGTTTTTTAGTCATGTTCTAGCTAAGAAGAAGTTGGATCTACAGGGAGCTCCCATACTTCAGATGATGTAGACTAATGCAGAATACTCCCAACACAATGAATTAGGTGTTCTCTAGCGTCCTTCCTTAAATGAACTTTCCAGGATGACTTTCTGGGAGTAAATAGTATATCTCTATCACAAACAAATTCCTTTCTCAGTACATCTTCAGCATTTTTCTCAGTTTTAAACAATTTCAAACATGAACTAACTGAATGGTTGCAAATCCGTATATTATTTCATTTAACACAAACTGTCGTACCTGCTTGACAGAGCAGTTGTCCTAAATTGCATTTGGAATACTAAGATTGCCAACCTTCTTTATTGTATCCCTTCATTCTGACTTCAAAAATGAGTTTCCTCACATGTTCCAAAAGATTATTGATGTAGACACACAAGCAAGAAAATCGACACAAAGAGAAAAATGGATAGAAATGAAACCAAATTCTATTAAAAGTAATAATCAACTAAAACATTCAAAATCCAACAAGAAAATACTAAGAGTTTTTAAATAAGCAAAGAAAGTAAAAACAATGCTATCCTCAGACAACCGTCAGAGCGGGTTCCTCTCATGCATCGAAATGTAGGTTAAATAAGATAAGTGCATAGAACTAGCAAACTGATGGTCCACCACTGCAAGATTGTCCAATTTCCCCAACAAATGCTTCCAAATCAACCAAGATACGACACCCTAAAGTTGCTTCACTTTCCGAAGAAGAATGCAGATGGAGTGGTACTTGCGGAGAGACGAAAGATGTTAGAAGCCGAGACGAAAGGTTGGAAAGAGCTCGCAAGATTTCCGGAAGGGATGAGAAAGAAGGTGGACAAAGCTCGCAAGCTTTTCCAATAACCCACAGGTCAATAGCAATTTTGCTCACAATAATCAACTCCCTTCCTTTACAACTTCTCGTATTTATAGGCAAGATAGGGGAATGCCAATAGTCTCTCTTTATGAATTTTCACATAATTACAAGCATCACTAGCATGGAAACCCCCCATTCATTCATGAGAAACAGCCCAAGCCCAGGAACCGAAGGAGAGGCTACGGGATCCAAAGAACCGCACTGAACCAAGCACAAAAGGCCACGAGAAAGAGCCCAGGCTCGGGAAACTAGCAGCCGACCAGAAATCCAAGAGGCAAAGGCACGAAAAATAGCAACCCCACATGAACTCAAGGCACCGATTTCAGCCATCATTTAAAACAAGTCACGGGATTCCGAGAGACAAGAAGAAAGGGGAAGGAGAAGGGACAAGACCACTCCAAAAGTAAATCCATCTTAATGAGTTACCTTTAGAGAATTTATGAGCTACTACACTTCAGCTCAATCAACTAAGAGAAGGAGTTCAACCTCAACCTTCTCCAATTAACCCGTGAACCAGCAGCAGCGAATGGATCAATCAAGCCAGCAAACCAAAGGTCTACCAAGCCCCATGCACAACCTACCATGATCATTGGATGCTTTCCCATCATTAGATAGTTAAAAAAAGAAAATAACATAAAACATACTATTGTTCAAATAAAAATAAAATTACAGAAATATTTGATAGCATCAATTATCAATGATGCCCAATAAAGATGCGTAGCTTCTGTTCCCTATCGTCACTAATAGACTAGTGAGTTTAAGAATTTTGGCAAGAGCCAGGTACAATCTTTGACTCCCAAAATTTAAGAACCAAGGAGGCATGCGAGGAAAATAGTAACTCGTACTCACTGGGCATGTTCCCTGAAGGACTTTCCATGGACAACTCAGAGACAAAAGGCAAATTGTAATATCCAAAATTTTAGGTATTATAACAATATTTGTTTAATTAAATTAATTCCCAAATTATTAAATTTTATTAAAAGTTTCCAACAAGTTTATTTTTTCTAAAAGTTTAATATATAATTACTTTTAAACACTATTAGCAATTAATTTTGATTAATAAATAGACTATTGTTCTGTTGATTACTATTAACAATTAATGTTAAATGATTAAATAATTAACAATTATTGTTAATTATTAAATTGATGTCAATTAGACTTTAAATCCTAATATATTAACTAATAGGATTCCTGTACAGTACTCCACTTTAGCACTAATACTTAAATTAAATAATATTAGTTTCCACTCAGCCACCTAATAAACCAAGCATGCGTTGGCTGATGGTTAATCTAAGGGATGCATTGTTTGAAGCCTTAACATAGTAGAGGATATCGTGGAACTATTGATTTATTCGATATTTCCTAAACAGAAGTTCTATTTGCGAGTCCTGGAGGCGGAAGAGGAGCAGATAGTTGATCTTCAATTCGAGAGGAGGGTCTATCTCTCCTACTTCTCTAGACATCTCTAGAACCTAAGCATACAAAAACACGAGAACAAATTCAGTACAATAACAAGATACCACAACCCTAACCACTCTATTTATAGCATACAAAAATAATCTCAATTACTAATTAGTCCCTCTCCTAAATTAGATCATATCTAAAACAGCCACCAATAAGCATCCCCCTCCCCTAATCGAAGATTGCCAAAAATCAATGTTTTCCTTTCAAACAATAGGCCCCACAGGGGCTCGGCGACTGGGATTAGGCGAACAGCAGGCCTCCGCCTGCTATAGACCAATCAGCCCAATTGGGCCGGTTGGATTGGTCCCTCCTGGACCAGTCTATCAATTCACCGTTCCCAAAGATCCACCTTGTTCTCAAGGTGAAACACTGAAAATTGATCTTGCATCCTCTCGTAAGGTTCTCATGTAGTATCATAATCGAGAAGGTTCTTCCATTTGATCAACACTTCTTTAATCCCTCCTCCTCCCTAGCATACCCCTTGCAGCTCTAGTGGTTCAAAGATCACTTCCAAATCTTCAGTCAATGTTGTCGGCAACTTTGGACTAGTGGTGTGATTCCCTATAGCTCTCCTTAGCTCTAACACATGGAATACCAGATGTATGGAAGAGATCGGAGGTAGCTTCAGTCGATATGTCACAACTCTGATCCTTTCTTCCATCTCAAAGGGAACAAAATACCGCGGGGCCAACTTCTCATTCCTCCTCATAGCCACTGTTCGCTGCCTGAAAAGGTGAAGCTTCAGATACACCCTACCCCCTACCTCAAACTGGACGTCCTTCTTGTGCTCATTCGCCTGCCTTTTCATAATCTGCTGGACTTTGAACATGTGTCTTTTTAATTCCTCCAATGTTTTGTCTCTTTCTTCCAAGTACTGCTCTACTAAAAAAATTGATGTGATATTTTGCCCAAAGTGTACCACGTGAGGTGGATCCTTGTCGTACAACACTTTGAAAGGAGTCATCTGGGACCCTGAATGGTATGAAGTGTTATACTAGTATTCTGCCCATGCCATCAACTTAGCCCACAGTCGATGTGTCTTTGAAGTAAAGCATCGCATGTGTGTCTCCAAGCTCCTATTGACCACCTCTGTCTGTCCATACGTCTGAGGGTGGTAAGCGATGCTCCTCTTCAGTACCATCCCCTGTAATCTAAACAATTCTCTCCAAAAATGACTGAGGAACAAATTGTCTCAATCGGATACTATAGACTCAGGTATCCCGTGTAATCAGACCACCTCTCTGATGAAAGCTACCGCCACTGTAATGTCGTGTAAGGATGTCATAGAGGAATGAAATGAGCATATTTGTTGAGTCTATCCACCCTACCAGAATAACTGTAAACCCCTATGATCGTGGTAGCCCGTCTATGAAATTCATAAAGACCTCTTCCCATACTTTGCCTGGGATTGCCAACGGCTGTAGTAATCCTCTTGGAGTCATAGTCATATACTTGTTCCTCTTGCAAACCTCGTACCTGGCCACCATTTCCTCTAAGTCCTTATTCATTCCTTTCCAATATAATTCAGCATACAGTCTCATGAATGTCTTATGTACATCTGAGTGACCCCCAACAACACTCCCATGAAACTCTTGTAGAAGTGCGGGATATGAATGGAGTACACGTTTTAGATATCTTAGGTCTATTGTTCAAAGTGATGGTGAAATAAATGGGGATATTTTTAGTAGAATTCAAGTTGGATGGTTGAAGTGGAGGAATGCATCGGGCTTTTTTTGTGATAGAAAAGTCCCTCTCAAAATTAAGGAAAAATTCTATAAGATGGTAGTGAGACCTGCAATGCTTTATGGTGCAGAATGTTGACCATTAAAAGAGAAGCATAATATTAAGTCAAGTGTTATAGAGATAAAGATGCACATGTGGATGAGTGGTTTTACTCTTAGAGACGGGATACGAAATGAGCATATACGTGAAAATGCTGGAGTAACTCCAGAGAAAAATAAGATTAGAGAGAGTCGCCTTAGATGGTTTGGTTACATAAATCAGCGGCCTTCGGATGACCTTGTTAGGAAAACATATGTATTAGATTTGACTTATGTTAAGAAAGGTAGAGGTAGACCTAAAAAAAACTTTGTTAGAAAATATTAGAAATAACATTTCTTTATTAGATTTAGATGAGAATTTTACTTTTAACATGACACAATGGAGAAAAAGGATTCATGTAGCCGACCCCACATAGTGGGATAAAGACTTGTTGTTATTGTTATTGTTGTTGTACTTCTTCATAAACTAGAAAAAAGGTAAATACAAGATTGCAAAAATTTTTGAAAAAGATACCCATATTAAGCAAAGTGTTTACAAGATCAAATTTTACTAAGTATTCAAATGAAGAATAATTTGTGTTTTTTTCCAGATTAATAGCCAATACAACTTGTTTACACTATTATTTTTGCTTTATAGACGTACCAATAATATGATAGACGCCAAGCAAAGGAAAATGTAATTGAGAATATTCATTCAGAAATCTTAAAATAATTAAGAACAAGAACTTTTTCCCAGGAAAAGTTTATTTTTAGCTACTTATCTCTAGAATCTAAACACTCACCTGGTAGTTCGCATCTGCAAATCTTTTGGTTAGTTCCAACAAGGAATCAAGCAGTTCATCCCTCTTCCTCGAGTATTCTTGCACCAAACCCCTATGCTCTTCCCCGCATTCAATTCTTGCAGTGATAGAGCAAGTATATGCCTCCAGTAAGATGTCAGTTAGTACCTCTAACTGGGACCACAGATCTGGTTTCCTTGAGCTGTCAATTAAAGCTGATTCTTTAAACAGTTTCATAATGAAAGATGCTATACACCATAAACCTGCCCTGACCACTGGCTGGCAATTCCAAGGTATCAATCCTTCAGGAGAAGGATACCAGGTCTGGTTTTCTATTCTATACTGCATGGCAGCCTGAATTAAAATTGAACAGGCATTTGATATTTCATAAGCCCGTTGCAGCTGAATATTATATGGTTGATCTTCACCAATTATATAAGTAATGTGATGGGTAAGGCAATCAAAAAATTCTTCTATATCAGAAACTTTGCTGTAAAATACTTCAGCATTATCTCTATCCATAAGCATTACCGTATTTCTACGAGCTTTATCTCCAACTAATTGAATAAGGTCCCACAGAGAACCACCCAGCCGATTCTCTGATTGAGAAGGCAGAGTATCAGCGTTGTTTGAGCGGTTTTGGCTAATCATATTCTGTAACTCCCTCAGTTGGATTATGCTGGAAAGTTTTTCACCATGTTCCATGATGGTCAGCAAAGCATGCCCTGCCGAATGAAATTGACAGTACAGAAATTAAAGTAAAGAAAGCTGTGCCATCCCAGAAAGGTCAATATAAACACACGAGGAATTCTAATTCACTGCAGTAGTGCGTGTGAATGCGATCCCAGAAAAGTAAATAGACAGAGGGAATTATAATTCACTGTAGTACATGAAAAGAATAGGCTAAAACAAAATTTCAGCACTGCACCAAGTACACCTTACAACTTTTAGAAAGTTTAACATATTAACAAATACAAACTCCTGCAAGGCCCACGCACCTAACTTCATCTGAATATTACATGGCAGGATTTGACAACTCCAGCGGTGTAATGTTTTTTTTAACTAGTTTTTCTTATGGATTGATGGTCATAACACTCTCCTCACGCAGAGGACAATTTGTTTTCAACTCATAAAATTTGAAAATGCTGATATCTGAGGTAAAATTCAAGAATCAATCTTCTATGATTTCACTTGCTAATACTCCGTACCAATCAAAGTTCAGTTATGGATATCAAACCTGGAATATAGTACTATAAATTCCATTAACAAAATGCAGCGTGAGTGACAGATAACGAGGAATAGATGATTGAATCTAATAGATTTCATGTGTTAAGTGTAAATCATTAACTACACTTTAAGCAAATATAACAAAATTGCATGGTTATAATAGGTCAGCTTTACGACATTTTCTAAAAAACGATAGAAGTCAGCTTAATGGTACATTTTTCTTGTTGATTATAGGACTTCTCCGCTTCTCCATATGTGCTTACATGCGTAACCTACAAATTTAGCTTACGCAATTAACTTTAAAGTGCTTTAATTTCTGGTCACAAATGTTAGAACAGTTTCCAAAACTGAAAGGGACGATTTCTAATCTTCCATTGACAGAAAATATTGACTATAAATAGGCATACACGACAAAGATAACAAAAAAGAAAATACAGAGATGAATATCATCAATTAAAAAAATGCATAATGTAATGCAAGCATATCTCACCAATCTAATACTTCTCAGATATAACACATTCCAGTCTAGTTAATTTCCTACAATAGAACTCTCTCTCGAGTTGGAGCATGCATATCCATAAATTTTAGTTTGTTATAAAATTGAAAAGAACGAAGAGGTCCCAAAGCTTTGTTAAAGTGATGATCTTCTTTGATAAGACAGCATCTCTAGTAGTGTCAATCAACTTTAAATTGTTTCATTCTATCATGGAAGATAAGATTGCTTTTAATGTAGATAGTTGCCTCATTATAATAATGAAGGATCATAAAAGTGAAACAATATGATAATCGAGCAACTATAGGAAAATCAAATTCTTCAACTGGATTTTTATAATCAATTTATGGTTCGAATCTGTCATTGCTCTATATTCAGCTTGAGCACTTGATCTAGCTACAAATGTTTTCTTTTAACACACAAGATACAAGGTTTCCAGTTTCCACCCACAAAGATAAAATATCCAAAAGTAGATTTTCGATCCTGAACCGGTAAAGCATATTCTACATCAGAAAAGGCCTAAATTCTTAAATAATTATATTTTTGACAAACAAGGGTTTTCAATGAAGATTTTTTAATACAACAACATCAAGTCATTATCCCACTGTGGGGTCAGCTACATGAATCTTTTTTCTCCATTGTCTCATGTTAAGAGTCCAATTTTCATTTAAATCTAATAAAAAATAATAATTTCTAATATTTTCTAACCTCTACCTTTGCTTAACATAGGTCAAATCTAATGCATCTAATCTCCTAATCAGGTCATCGGAAGTCCGGCATTTTATGCAACCAAACCATCTAAGGTGAATCTCTCTAATCATATCTTCCGGTGGAGCTGCTCCAACCTTTTCACCTATATACCCATTTGACATTATATCTCTAAGAGTGAAGCCACTCTCTAAGAAATTTTTTAATATATCCTAAAATTATTAGGATAGCTACACAATATATATTAGGTTTTGCATATGTTGATTGACCACACAAATGAAAAAATATATGTAAGATGGTGTAACAGCTATATAAATTTGCCAACAAGACATCAATAATGAGAGGGATCTTTATAGCTTTCAACAGTCTTAGATGATTGCAGAATGCAGAGTCTCCACTAGAGCAGGCTTAAATCCAAAAACAATTTCTTCAAGAACTACACATTTTTTGTTTATGAGAAAGAAATACATTATTTTCTCTACAATTTGATACCAAGAAATGTTTCTGATATCCTAGATCTTACGTGATAAATATCTCCTTCAAAGACTGCTTCACCTTAGTAAAGCTAGAAATATAAGTTTCAATAAGAAGGATACCATAAACATATATAGCAAAAATCAAGAGCCTCTTAGAGTTTGTCAAACCAAACTTAGGGCTCCACATAAATCCATTATAACTTTTCATCTTATTCACCCCTCGAGCAATATATCAAGGAGGTCTCTATATACATTGCTTCAAGAAGAACCTCATAAAAGAAAGCATTATTAGCATCTATTCATATCATAGACCATCGTTGATTAATGACAACAGAAAGAAATTGAATAGAGTTAAAACAAGCAACAAGGAAAAAAATCTCAAAATAATCAATATAATGAATTTAGTTGTGTACTTTTGTCACCATTCAAGCCGTGTAGTGATAAATAGATTGAACTTAGCAGTTAAGATTTATCAACTAGAAATAGTTTAATCCCAAAAGGATGTTTAAATAATTCTCAGATATGGCAATCAAGAAGTTCACCCATTTTATTGTCCATGGCTTTGCTTCCAATTGGGGTAATAAGGCCTCCTGGAAATAAAGACAATGAAAAGTAATAAAGAAAATAAATGAAAATAAGAGAGATTATCAGAGGACAAGAAAGACTATAGTGGATGAGAAGTGAGAATCATCAGCAGCCCTTAGGGGACTCAGTAAAATATTAATTCATTATGTGAGAAGATGAATTAAGGGATTAATTAGGAATGATTTCCTAATTGAAATTCAAATTTGAGAGGAAAATATATTTTGGGGGGGGGGGTTGATTCAGGATTAATCAGGAAGGATTTACTGATTGAAATTCAAATTGGAGATAGAAATATATTATGAAGAGGGGCTGATTTAGGTGGGAATGAGGAGAAGCTTATTTAAGACTAAGTTTATGGTATATTTTGTTATGAGGATTTTGATTAGGTTTTGATGTAACTTTTTCTTTGAGGGCTTCCTAGCGGCGTCTAGGTTGTTTAGGACAGCCGATTTACCCCTCGAATTGTAGATCACATATATATTTCCTTCAAACTGAAGTTACGATCCACAATTAACCATTATTATTAGTATTTCTACAGTTCTTATATTATTCGTTTGTTGTTTTTGTCTCCAAGACGTATCAAATTTGTATCAAAGCAGTCTCCTGGACAAAAATCTTCGATCTCCTCGCATATTTATGCTGCATATCTCCTCTAGTTTGCTGATTTTTGCAGTTTGAAGATTTTAGTTGCTGTTTTTTGCTGATTTTTGCGGTTTGGGACATAGATAAGTGAATGGCAGCAAAGAAGGTGGAGGAGTTGGAATGCGAGATGGAACAATTCAAAACCAGCGTGGAAGAGAAGCTCTACCATGGAAGAAAGGTTTTCATTTATGAAAAACTATATGGAAAACCAATTTGGAGGGGTGTAGTAGATGTTAAGAAGGATCTTGAAGATGCAAACAAAAACTCTACCGATGGTTCCAATGGCTAACCTCAATCTAGATTCGATCGGGATTCCCTTGACCACAACCAAGGGAAAAAGAGTCGAACAGGAAGAGTTTAATGATGAGAGTTTCTTTCACCAAGAACCTCCTCCTAGGGCTCCCATAAGGGGTGGAATAGGATCTTCGGATGGGGGGACAACAGTAAAGGAGTCTAGTAGCAGAAGTGGTGGAGTTTCATAAATTATGTTTATGTTAATTATGAAGGTTCTATTTATTTAAAAAGGTTTCCTAAATTATATTTATGCTGAATAATAAAGGTTCTAATTGTGTTACTTTATTCTAGGGCTATTTAAGATGGAGTTTGTCTATGGTTTTGCAATGATGTTGCTGAGTTTATTTTTCTAGTGTTTGTGGTGAGTTCCTAACAACGTCTAGGGTTTCTGGGAGAGCTGATCTACCTCTCGAATAGTAGATCAATTGTATATTTCTTTATTATTGAAGGAGAAATAAGAAAATCAACCCTATCTTTGTGTTCATATGTTGTTCTTCTCTTTTATTTGTTGTTTTTACTTCCAAGGCTATCAAATTGGTATCAAAACACTTTTTTGGGACTTATGGCACTGAGCAAAGAAGGTGAAGGCATTGGAAAGTAAGATGGAGCAAATCAAATCCGACATGGAGAGAGGTTTTCATCCATGGAAGGAAGGCTTTCTAACTTGGAAGGCATGATAAGAAAACTGATTGAGATGCAATCGAAGGCTTAGCCTGCTATTCCTAGGGCTAAATCAAAGGGAAAGAAAATTCTAGAGGAGATGATGAGGAAGCTCTTAGAGATGCAATCATAAACTCCACTAGTGGTTCTGATGGCTAACCCTAATCAAGATTTGGCTGGAATTGCCTTGGCTGAATCGAAGGGAAAGGAGATCGGAGAGGAGTTTGACGAGAAGAGTTTCTTCCATCAAGAGCCACCTCCTAGTGCTCCGATAAGGGGAGGATTAGGGTTTTCGGTTGAGAGGACAAAGAGGAATTTTTTTGGTGTAGGTGGTAGGGTAGCCGACTACTATGGGAAGCATTTCGAGTAAAGGGTGTGGGTCATCGAAGAAGGAGGGGGTAAAGAGCCACCTCATTGGGCTTCGATTAGGGGCAGAATAGGGTTTTCAGATGGGGGTGGCATGAAGGGAGTTTGATGGTGAAGGTAGTGGGGTGGTTGACCACTATGGGAGGACTTTTGGGGCAAGAGGAGTGGACGACCAGAGAAAGAGGGGATCGGGCTGCATGGGGATTGGGTCATGTGAGGCGGAGGGAAGAAAGGTGGGATTCCCACCGTCGATACTCGGGGGAAACATGGAGGGATCACGACAACTATTACATTGGAGGAGGAAGAAGCTATGGGGAGTTGGAGCGTCACTGCATCCTAGTTTCGATGTGAAACTAGCTGAATATCTTGCAGCAAGAGCTACACCTATTCATCTCGGTTCTCAAGAATTTAGTTCATATGGTGGGAGATGGATGTAGACCCACATGTTTTGCCCATTCCTGTATAGTTCATGACTTTTATGCAATCCAGATATACCATAGAGCTCTTTTACAACTTACATCGAGATAATGTCCCAACCAAGTCTGTTATGCATAACTGCATCATACATTTTATTCCCCTTAAAAAAAGTTGTCAAATTATTCTCAGCATCATGGTTAATTATTCAGAAGGTACTTATCAAGTGAAAGGATTTGCCATAGCTCAAAGCCACATGCGAACCTTACAAGTTGATCAATAGATAGTTTTCATCCTTCCACCTTGAGGCAAAAGTGCATTTTTAGAGAGAGAGTATTTATACTTTTTTTTTTTGTTGGGGGTGGGGGGGGGAAGCTATTTAAAAAGGTTCCTAATCAAGAGGAGTTGTTTAGGAAAGTTTCTAATTAAGAAAAATTATTTATGAAGGCTTTTAATCAAGGGAGAAGTTGTTTAGGAAAGTTTTCTAATTGTATTTATGCTATTTAGAAAGTGTTTAATTATTTAAGAAGGTTTCCTAAAATATATTTAATTGTTTAGGAAAGCTACCTAATTCATGTTTAATTATTTATGAAGTTTTTCTAAATCATATTTAATTATTTAGGAATAAATCATGTTTAATAATTTAGGAAGGTTTCCTAAATTATGTTTATGTTGATTATGAAAGTTCTATTTATTTAGAAACGTTTCCTAAATTATATTTATGCATATTAAGAAAGGTTCTAATTGTGTTATTGTATTCTCAGGCTATTTAAGAGGGAGTTTGTCTATGATTTTGGGAGGATATTGTTAAGTTCATTTTCCTAGTGTTTGTTGTGAGTTCCTAGCGTCATCTAGGGTTCTAGAAGAATCTATCTCTCGAATAGTAGATCAATTATATCTTGTTTTATTATTGAAGGAGAAATAATAAAATCAGCCCTATCTTTGTGTTCCTACGTTGTTCTTCTCTTTTATTTGTTGTTTTTACTTCCAAGGCCCATCACAAATATATGGATAAATAGCATAACCGCCATAACGTATATGAAAATATGAGCTCCTATAATTCTAAAAAGATAATACTCTCTCTCTCCCTCCCTCCCTCTCTCTCTACGTGTATACTCTTTTAGAATGATAAAGTCCATCCTCTTTTCTCATTTTACAATATCCAGAAATATATTTGAACGGCTAACAATTAAATTTGCTAAAACTCATTGAGAATGTAAAAATAGATTTTAGCAACTTTAAAGCATAATCATTCAAATATGTTGATGGATTGTGTAAAATGTGCAAAGAGAATAGAAATTTTATATATATATATATATATATATATATATATATATATATATATACATATCAATGATTACTGTCTTCATGATCGTTTTGCTTCAAGTATTAGGATACTATGGCACAACAGTTTTCTTCATTTTTTCAATTAGGTATCCAAATTTTTCGTTAACCTAAAGCCAAAAAATAACTTCTATACCCATGACACAATTCCACACTAAGAAAAAAGCCAAAAGACGGCGCCAGTATCTTACTTTGCTTGAGAGAAAGTTCATCGTGACACCTGGACAGAGCAAGAAAATGAAGGTATTTTTGATGTTTTTGCTGTTTATCTAACAAAAGGGACGACACAATAGCTGATGCCACAAGTTCAGCTCCTCTAGTTGTAGTCCAATGTTTAGCCAGTGTATCCACAATGGATTTGCTCATGCGAGCAAAAACATTTGTTTCACCTTCTTTTTCAAATGCTCCTTTAAAACTAAGCTTCTCAAATGCACCTTCAACTTCAGTAGATATCATGAAATCACAAAAAAGACGGCCAAGTAAAACTTCCGCTTCTTCATCTTGGGCAGTTCTCTGCACAATACCGGTTATCACCGATCTTGGTCTGTCTCCAGAACTCCAAGCTTCAGAACTAGCTCTTCTAGGAGCCATATTTCCGCCAAAAGCCTGAATTCTTTTTTCTTCTTGTGTGATTCCTTCATTGCAGCTCCCTTTGCGTGATAGACTTCGCTCTGGAGGTTCAACTCCACCAAGTAAAACTGCCTTCTCAGGTATAGCCCACACTCCGACTTTTTCAGTCAGAACAACCCATGCCCCTTCTTCATCATCCTCAGCAGAAGGGAAAACAGAAGCATCTAGAACCTTTCCTGCATCATATGGTAAATCAAACTGATAAAGCCGTATAGAACCTCTAAGATAATTGGTCACAGTTGCAGTCCCATCCCCAGATAATATAATTGCAGAACCAGAAGGCTTGCCTCCAACACGAAGCCTCATAGAAAACAAGAACTCTTCATCCTCCACTCTTGCCTTAGGAATTATAACCTGAAGAGGTGCTTTCTTCTCCAAAACCCTAGCACTCATTGCAGCAGAATTCTCTGTGTTGATGTTCTTTCCAGCTTTGCATATCATTGTTAGGAGAGAATACTGAGTATAGCTTGAACCGCCTAGCCGATCCTTGCAAAATGTTGCCACAAGAATACTAATTTCCTTACCACGCTCATCCACCTGCATGTCCAAAAGCCAGATGTGCTTTTGCCCAGCCAGATCCTTCTTAATGCCCAGATCGCCATCATTACCAACAATCTCGTTCACCCATAGTTTTGTTACATTTACCTCAGGTGTGAGCATGACATTCCAATACTGAATTTCACGGTCTGTCAACAAAAAGAATTGCCAACCAGATTTTTCTGAGCATGCATGTGGCTGAAGATGCCAGTTGAGTGATCTTGCATACCTTTTATTTGTCTGAGAATGACTAACACAACCAGCACCAAATATGTCATGACGGATCTTTTTCCTATAAATTCCAGATGGAGTAAAATAGAAATGCCACAACTTGCCACTAGATTGGCAAGCTATTGCAATGCACTCTTTAGAACTGCCAGAAACTGGGGCGGCAATAATAGAGTTAATATGATGGTGTTCAGACAGGTGAACGCTTCCAACCAAACAAATTTCTTGGTGCTCGTTGGCATCTTTTCTCCCTTCATTATGAAAATTGGTTTCACTGACATCCAAGGGAGTTGGAAGGCTAAAAACTGGCATGTTTCTACTTTCCGCAAAAATATCAGGCCAATATACAAGAGCTTGAGTCTTCATATGGCAGATGATAACACCAGCGGAATTGCAGTGTCGTAACACCTTCTCAGTCTTTGCAGAAACAGCATCCCATCTAACTATGCAGACCATCCAGTGATTAAAATGCTTTCCTTTCCTGTTTCCATCACTTATTTCTAAGACAGAGGAAGGTATTTCAAGAATTACACATTTATTTGAAACAGAGGCTGATAAATAGCTCCATATATAAAGCTTATTTCCGCATATTATCCAACAAAGTCCTGTTCCCTTATCCATGCCACCTGTGAACAACTTATCACCTACGCTCATACAAAAGTAAACAAAAACAAAGGCTCAATACATGGAGATAATCAGTAGAAATATCCCCACAGACCTTCTACGAAGTCATCTTAAAGCCCAACCCTGACAAAATACATACCTGATGAAACCTCATGCAGCAGTTCCTCTTGTGCATCACGAAGATGACAAGGAAAGTCCCCGACATAAACTGGTTTCGTTTGATCAACATCAGTTCCCTTCTCTAAATCCTTTGTAGTCGGAATTCTGATGACAGAAACGAAGGATTTTACCATTTCTCAGATCTGAACCTAAAACGGTTAAATAAATTTTCCATTTAATTAGTGAGTGTTGCATGCATCAGCATTTTTATTATTTCTTCCTGTACAGAATGTTAAATGTCATATTATCTGCTATGGATTTTTTTCAAATAATAAAGAGAGGTATGTTTCCCTTAGATTAGTATCATCATAGTCTCATAGATGCTCCAGATTCCTTCAAGTATCAGTGTATCACCCACCGTATGAAATGATAATCATATAAGAAAATTAATCAGAGATATTAAATTCAATGAAAGGAAGAATATAAAAATATAAATCTATAAATCATGATCAGCATCATTAGCATTGTCACAATTCCCAACCAACCAAAAAATAAACTTCAAAAATTAATATATGAAATGATAAATCAACGTAGATGAATAGATTTTCTAAAGAAGCGGTATATTTTTCAGGATCAAATATCACAAGCTATGTCAAAACAATTAGATGAACAACTCGGTGGATATACATCCTTTCCCTTTTATGGAAGACATCAAAACCTCTTTCAGTAAAAGAATTAATTAAGATAATGCATATAATTTACCCATCCATGAGATCTTCAGTACAATTTGTTTCATTAAGATTCTGTCTTAGCTGGAGCCTGATTATGCCTGTTCATTCGTATTTACAAGCTAAAAAAAATTGCACACTAGTGGACAAAATCAATAATTGCAGCTAAAATAATGGCTACAAATTACTTAAAATGGTCATGATCTATGATGCACCGACACTTTTCCTCAAAGAGGCGTGCAGTGTCTGACACCATATCCGACACGACACTCTTCCGACACTCCTCCGACAAGTGTCGGACACGCTGAAAACATGTCCGATTAAAAAATATTAAATGCAAATTGGACACGCGTGTCCAACACGCATATCTTAAATATTTTATGAATTTTTTTAAATATAATTTATTGTATTTGACGGAATTTAAACTAAATTTCTTATTTTTTACCCATAACACCAAATCAACGTCCGCACTTAATACCCAATCATCGAATATTCTCATTATCATTTCTTTTTGGCAATGAAGGTATTTTCATCTCCTCTCTCAGTGACTGATAAATGACATTGAAGCCTGACTCTTGACATCCTAATACTAATCATTTCAAACACAAATTCTAGTTAAATGACTTATTATTTTCAAATTATTTTTAAAATTATACTTATTTAATTTTTATACACTATTTTTTAAATATAATAACTATAATACCGTGTCTAACCCGTGTCCGTGTCCTATATTTTCAATAACTGACGTGTCTCGTGTCCGTGTCGTATCGTATCCGTGTCTGCGTGTCCGTGTCTGTGAATCAAAGGTCATGATATGCCCAAACAAAAAAATAGCCTAACAACAACTTTAATGAAACACAAGCAGTCGGGGTGAAAAAATAGCATAGCTAAAACTGTCAAAAACACAAAGAATAAACCAAATAAACAGTTTCCTAGATCGTCTTTCCACATCTGGACTTGGAACATTTTCAGTGACGTCATTAGTAAGATTGGCAATCATATTGGGGTGGATGCACGAAATGCTGTAAAAATCCGATTGGATTATATGCTAGAGTTTGCATTGAAAGCCTCCCATCACCTGTGTTGCCATACTCTAGCCTGATCTTCCATCACATGCGTTGCCATACTCTAACTGATCTCATTTGGAGACTCACCTTTAAGGCCATCAGAGAGTTTGTTGCTCATTTTGGTCTATTGATACTTATTGTCTTCTTAAAATGAAAATCAGAAAGGAAGAAATTCATGGCACAATAACAACAACATTAAATCTTTATCCCACAACATAAGGTCGGGCAACAAAATACAAAATAAATGAGAAAAAGATCGTTCTAGCAAACAAAAACTATCAGGGAGGAATGATCGTCATTAGGTGGAATGAATCTAACAAGCTCAAGACAAGGTAGTTATTCTGCAGCGACCAAATTATTCACAACTGTTAACGATCAGAATTCGGAATTTATGTTCTCTTACGTATAAGATTCCAATGATTCTTGTAAGCGTAGAAGGTTATGGGAGGATATAATAGACATCTCTTAAAATTAAAGTATTCCTTGCATAATGCTTGGAATTTTGAATTGCTATACATTCAATTCTAAAAAATTGTGGAGGGGATGAGAAGTAAACAAATCTCATGGAATTTAACACTGCCTCCAGAGTGTGGGCCTTGATGACATTTTCACAATAGACAATTTATATACTTGGTCTAACAACCTGAGAATAATCTTATTTATGAGAACCTTGATCAAACACTTTGCAAAATGAGTGGACTGTTAGCTTCCCAAATCTTCATAAAGACTTAATAAATTGATTGGAAACTCACAAATACCATTCAATTCAGCATCGCTTCTACAAAGCTCTCGTTCGAAGATCCTTATACCATAAAATTATGGGCTAATTTAATTTCAAGAGCGGAAAAGATTCTTGCGCAACCTTCTGCATTTTGGTTGGCCCTCATGGGCAAGCATAGGACCAAGAATACACTTGCAAAGCATAATATCCAAACATATGGGATGTGTGTTCTTTGGCATGTTAATATGGAGAACCATGTTCTTTTTCACCCTAGCACAACTATTCCAACATGTTTTTGTATTATAAACAATTATGATGCTTGTGATTGCTCCAAACAGTCCCTCGAAACATTATTATTATTTTTTGGGGCAAATTCAAAAAGTATGATGAAATGACCTGTGCTTAATGATTATGCCTGCACTTTCATATATGGCGTGAAAGAAATCAAAAGATCTTTGACAGGAAGAGCATGCCTATACAAGATCTAGCAAAAAACTTTGACTACCATACTACTCTTAACAGTCACCCACCATCACTGTTTTAGGTTATTTTTATCAATTTGTGAGGACTCTCTTGTATTTTTTTTTATGGATCATTGCCTAACTAGTTTCTCCCCCTCTTTGTTCTTACATAAAATTTACTTCTCTGCTTGGATAAAGTTTTTGACTGATGTAATTCCTCTTTGTATGTTTGACAATAAATTGCACTGGTAGTTGTCACCCTTTTTTTTCTTTGATATATTGGGATTGGCTCTTACTTTTATGCAAAAACATATATATATGAGTGATCAAAATCTAATCTTCCTATGGATCATATTGCCAACATAAACCTACTCTACATTAAAGGCCAATTGCTTCAATCCAAGCATTTGAAAGTAATTGAAACTGAATTTTTAAGGTGAGTTTCATTGATCTCTATTTGTTATGCAGAAATTTATTTCTTACAAACTCACTCACTTTTTCTATTTGTTTAAGCTAAAATGAGTTTCTTTTTTGCCCACCCTAAATTAATTTTATATAATTTTTAATAGTATGAAGAAAATCATGTTCTTTCAAAGCTTTCTCTGGCGACGCTCTCCTGCGGAGCTAGAGCATCATCCATTCGGCTCCACCTGGGCTTCTCTGCCTTTGTCGTCTCTCTGGATTAAGGAAAGTTTTCCTTTTTTTTCCTTTGATTTTTTTGTGCCTTTTGTTTTCAGCTTCATCCCTTTCGGTCATTCGTGGCCTGTATGGCAGCGAATCGGTTCTTGGATCCTGATTTTTTGGATGGATCCAAGAAGTCGTGTTCTTTCTTGGATGCTTTATCTGGTTCTGCCTCTGATGTTTGTTTTCCGAAGATCAAAACGACTACCTTTCGGGGTTTACCATATGTGTGGATCTCAAAGGAGGAGATCATTTCGCTTGTGGCACCCTTCTAGTATGTCTTAGTTGATTTTTTTCCTTCTGGTCGCCCTAGCTTAAGGTTTTTTTTCAACCTTAAGCTCATGGTTGATTTCTAGATAACCTTGCTTGATTTTTCTCATGTGCTGATTAAATTGATGAGTGATATGGATTATAGCAGGGTATTATGCCACAAATCTTACCTTATTTATAATTGCTACATGAAATTAACCAAATGGTCTCCCTCCCTTGATATGGGTGTTGAATCCTCTATTATTCTCATTTGGATTTCATTCCCCAATTTACGGCCTCATCTATTTTCTCCTCGAATTATTCACGCTTTGGGCTCGTTGTTTGGCCGCCCGTTAAAAGTTGACAACGCCACCTCCGTTGGTTCTTGGCCTTCTCTTGCACGTGTCTTGGTAGAACTTGACATCACTAAAAAGTATCCGAAAAAAGTATGGCTCGGTCCTGATAAGTTTGGATACATCCAGAGTGTTGAGATGTAGGCTTCCCCTCCCTTTTGTGATCAATGTAAAGCTCTTAGGCATGTGAGGGGGGGAGTGTCGAATCCTGTCCTCTATCCCGGTGAATGGTCCTACTATTTCTGCTAATCCTCTTAAGACTGTTGGGAATGAAACTAGTGTTGTGGAAAATGTTGTTGTTGATGGAAATGTTGGTGTTGTTTCTTTTAATCCTTTGTGTCATGTTACGTCTTCTAATGAGGTCCTCATTAGTGCGGGTAATGGAGTGGTTTTTTATCTTGGGGTGGAGGCAGCTGGGGCTGTTGTTCACTCCATTGATGTTGGTCTTGTGGAGCCTCCCTTAGTTATTTCTGATGGTGGGTCTCCCATTGTTTCAGTGGTTCTGAAGGCTGATGCACATGTTCCGGAGGATGTTTGTAATGTTAATTTTGATGATCATGAGGATGGTGAGGGTGTTGCTCCTGGTGTGAATGATTATTTAGCTCCTGTTTCATTTCAAGACAATTTAGAAGTGGATAACATGGGTGTGTGTAATGTTAACACAGTGGTTTCGAATGATTAAACAGGTGATTTTAACCTCTTCTTCTCTCCATGGTGATCACTCCAAATGTATCATTCTTCTCGATGAATGCAAGCTTCTTTAGATGTGGTCTTTGTTCGTGTTTGTAAGAGTCAGAAGTTGTAAGTGTCTTTCTACTATGATATAAAAGTGTCTTTTTGAAGTATTTTGTATCTTTTTTGGCAATTTATGTAATTTTCTATTATCTATGAAGCATTACTTTTTGCTTGCAAAAATTTGGGGCCCTTCCCAAATTTTTTCTTGCATCACAAGCGCTTATAACTTAGTTCCAAAAAGTAAGTGCCATTTATTTCCAATCCATTTACTTCAAGACAAACTAGCCCTGCCAGCAAGGTCTCTGGTTGTTATTCTTATTCATTCGAGGAGCTCCATCAAGGTGTATCATTTTCAATGACAAGATGAACAAAACTGCTTCTCATGCAAAAAACTTAATAGTCAGCGATATCACATATTTCACACCAGTTTGGATCACATACCAGAAACATCGGCAGCCAACGAATAAACAATAGATAGAAGAAAAGCCTAAGTTCAAATCCAGCATCCCTAATATGCTGGAAAAGAATAACTTTAGGAAACTAAGAAAGGGCTCTACGGAGAAGAGATTCAAGCGGGGGCCGAACATTAGTACATTACTACCTCACAGCTACGGATGGGCGAGTGGCCCAAGGAGCTGGCGTGCCAGTCGTAGGACGGTTGGGGATTGAAGGGGTCAAAAGAAAGCCGCTGGCCTGCTCCAAAGGAAGAGGCGTCGACGGAGACGAAACAGGTGGAGCCGAAGCTGCATGACCCCATTGATTACGATCTTTCTGCCGAAGTAGTGAAGATTTCCTCGTCGCCGGGGAGAACATGGGTAGACGAGGCGTGGCTTTCGATTGCGCTTATCGTCGGAGGCTCGAGGGTTTTAGGGTTTTAGCATTAAGAGAATGGCAAGAACAGCGGAAACGAATTAAAAAAACAGTTCGGAGATTACTTCATGATAATCATATTTGAATAAATATGTACGTTAATTTTAAAATTTTTGACATTGCATGTGATTATTAATCAAATATCATCACCATTTATTTTATAATAAAAAATTAAAAAATATTTAAATAAAATTATCTCTATTATATTAAAATAAATTATAAGCCTAAATCTAAGCAAACAGATTATGTAAATTTTTATCTTCTTAGCACCTTTTATTATCTCAAGCATAGCCAACAAAGCTTTATTATAGGGGGATTTACATACATACCATCCTATACTATTATATTTATATATTTAACACATAAATTTTAAATATTACATACATAACATCATAAAAAGATTTAGTTAGAAAATATTAGAAATGATCTTTCTTTATTATATTTAATTGAGAATTTGACTTTTAACAAGACACAATGGTGAAAAATGATCCATGTAGCTGACCCCACGTAGTGGGACAAAGGTTTGATGTTGTTGTTATTTGTATACATACCACTATAGTTCATTTTCATATCAAATATGAATGGTAGAAATGAAATATATGTGACAGAAAGGAAATATGAGTGGCATGTTTGATATTAAAATAATATAGGGTGGTATGCATATAATATTAAAATTTTGATGTTAGATATGTAAATAGGATAATATAAAGTGGTATGTACGTAAATTTCCCTTTATTATAATGCTCTCAATTTTTTAATCATAGTATGTTTAAGATTTGTATTATTATTATTATTATTATTACAAAAAAAAAGATTTGTATTATTATACTTTCGGTTATTTAGGTTCAAAGCATTCATTATCAAGAATTGAGCCTTGCAGGTTATATTTTAAACAATATGAGAAGTTTTAATATGTGTTTCAAGCTTTATTCCAATGCCAAATCCTAAACCATATACCTCTTTAGATATCATATTTCTGGTTATAACAACATTCGAATCAGGCTAAAAGCTTGTTCAAACTATGATCAAATCTCGCTCAAATTACATAGACTTTGCACTGCTCAAACTACAAAAAGAGCTAGGAGTATAATGAATAAAAATTTTAAACGATTTGGAGTATTTGATCTTATAAGAAATCCCTACCTTGATAAATTTTTCAAGCACTTAAACTATAGTTTTTTGGAGCCCTAATTCATCAACTACTAGGGTGTCCAACAATGAAGAGAATAGAGCGACTCACATTATGTTCAACATTAGGAAGATGAATTTGCACTGATAATTGGGTTGGAATTTGAAGAAATTTCATTTGAGGAAGAATTCATGGAAATTAGTAGAAGTACAAGATTTATTATTAATTACCTACATAGATATGAAAACTTTAAGAACTTAATTTTAGAGAAATCATTCAAGCTGTGCACTAAGAGGTGTGATGTGTTGGAAGTTAAATTTATATTATCTTGTAAATAATGTCCTATCCAACTATGATAAGTGTAATACTATTTTTATTAAGATGATGCAGAAGTTGAAGATCAAAAAGCATTCTCTTGATGTCCATGGGGTAGCTTAAAATGATTGATTAAAGATATAATGCACTATGAGGTTACGGTCTTGAACAAAATGTCCTAACCTAATACATAATCAATAAACATGTCATAACATTATAGTACTTAGCTTATAAAGTCACATTAAAATTGAGGAAAAAATGTGCAAAATACTTTAAAGTTAGAGCACCAAGAGTATTGAGCTAGATAAGCAACAAAGTGCTCAAAGGCAAAATTATTTGTCAGTGTTAATGAATAAACATTTTACTTTAATAGTTATTTTATATAAGTTATTATTGTAAAAACACTTTGCTTTTTTGTAGGTGGTTATTAAATTAAAATTGGTGCATACATATGATGAAAAAAACTTCTATCTATTTATTATACATATGCTGTCTCAACATCTTCCAACTAGAGTTATAAGGAAAAAAGTGGTTGCCATATATTTTATGAGTAAGTGTAGTGTTTATATTGAGGAAAAAATAAAAGAGGGATTTGATGAACAACATGCTACTAGTTAATCTTTGCCAATCTCCAATAGTCAGTTCAACAATTTTAGTTGTTAGGGAATTGAAGAACAATTATATCGTATTACAAAATAATCAATCGAGGTTGTTAAAAATGTTTGGTACTATATTAAATTTTATCATTAGTTTTTATATAGAGAGGTGAAGGAGAATATCCTCACTATTACTCACCCATTCATTATGATATTAGGGATGAGCTGGGACAATAGAAGTAAGATGGTATGGAAATTCTTACCATTGCCCTTGTCATTTGTTTTGAGACTAAATGTGATGTGTTGCAAGATGCGAGATTAAACTATGAGATGACCATAGGACCCCATTGGACTTAATAAAACCACAATGGACTTAATAAAGCCCACAATAGGAGACCTTTTTGTAACATCCAAGGACTTAATGGAGGAATTTAACCTGCAAATCCTATAGATTTCTCAACCCTCAATTACATCCTTCACTCTCATAACCATCTAATTCTCAACAAATAAAATGAAATACATAAATATACATAAACTCCTCTACGGATTTGCATTACATCTAGAATAACAAAAAAAAAAAATCAAAATACAACAATTCCAACAAAATACCTATATAAATTATAAACTAGCAAAACAATGAGTACCTTGCAGACCCAAAACTTATGCTCCCTATTAGAACCAACTTACTGAGCAAGATCATTCCCTTTTCATGAACTATTTTAAATACTAATATAAGTACAAGACTCAATAGTCAACCTTTATCCATAATAGTATTCAATTCACAACTTCTAATTTAAATGAGCAAGAACACATAGAATTCATAGTTTTATTCAACTTATAATAGAACAAGGTTTATACTATATAAAGCATGGAAACAAAATAATTTAAACTCATATGCTACTATGGATGCACAAAATGCACATGATTCAATGCCTGCCTATAACTCCCTTTTTACCACTTCCCACCTACTTAAACAAGTGTAGAGCAGAATTAGAACATAGCTAATTCAGAGGTCATAATAGAATAGAGTAGTATAGAATAATTATATGTTTGCATTGGGCCGAAGCAGAGAATTTACGGTTTACTTTCATTTTCACAATAGAACTTTAAAATGTCATGAAATGCATAACAATGCATGTGTAGTGTATAACTAAAGATTTAAAATAAAGTGTTTGAATCGTCTAGTTTTACATTTTTTTTTACAAATTTTAGATACATATCAAAATATTTCATAATAATGCTAAATTTATATGGACTATATAGAATATTGATTTAACATATTTTGTTAATTGCACAGAGGTTTAGAAGTGGCACACTTATCCAAAATCTTTAGAAATTCAAACATAGTAAATAAACCAGTGTAAATTTGTATTGTTATAGTCAACTTATTCATAGTAGAGTGCACAGTGTTATGTTAAAAATTACATAGTCATGAAACTTTCCCAAAGCTTAAGAAAAATATTTTTATATACACTTTGGAATTGAAATAAAACATAGAGTATAGGTTGTCTAAATCATGCCAGAAAACTCTCTTAATTAGCTGAGCATATGATTTTTAAGTTATGGTCTCCAAACCCTATCCACTTCTTTCTCTCTCCTCTTCTTATATTTTCTAGCAAGGATGGTTGGGATGAGCGGGAGTTAGCAAATGAATTATGATGCTTATTATTTTAGAAGCATTCATTCAGACCCACTGCCATGGTGCACAACATTCCAACGTTGCACCGCCCTAGGAGAATCTTCCATAATCTCTCAAAATCTTATGAACAGTGAATTAGGGGTAGCAGTGATGGCTCAAAGCACTGAAACACCTCACCAAAACTGTCCCGAATAGAGAACTCAATGCCACAGCGCCGGAATCTCTAGCATCATAGCGCTCCCTTGAATGGTTAGGTGACTTGCATTCTCTATATCTCAGATCAAATTATGGACTTCTCTAGAGTTAATTTAATACCATTCGACTTAAAGTAAAGAATCAAACTTATAGTAAATCGATTGACTAAATTCTAAGATGGTGGATGTTACACCTTTGATAACTCAATTTCCAATAAAATTATATCTATTTGATTGGATTTGATTTTAGTTAGCCATATGTTTTACATAACACTAATTTAGCCCTTATTAGTTTATATGGATCTAATTGACAGCTTAAGAATTCAAAATTTTATCCAATGGTTTAACCACTTGTATGTTTATTGTGATATATGTTGGACCACTTGAACATAAGTTATGGGCCCAAGTTTGAAGATTAGTCAACCTAACCCTAAAAATCATAAATAATAGATCTAATCAATGAGATTGAATCAATTGATTTGATTATTTAACAAAATATCTTTCATAGAATTTCCATCATAAAATCATTAATGAGTTGGCCCTAATTGATTATTAGACCAAGCTAGGATCCCTTGAACCTTAGTTTAGCCCATTTAGACCCAATTTAGTCAACTAAGATCAAACTTTCATGATTGATCAAATTAACCTTGGTCAACCATTCTACTAGATCCTAATAGACTACATATGTTTAATTGAGCTAAATAACCTTTTTGGTCTAGCTCAATTGAGCACTTTGACCTAAATTATACCAAAATGATATATTTATCCCATACTTACAAAATCATTACATTTGTCAAATTGATTGAACTCAAGGCCTTAAATCAAGCTCAATAGGTAAACCGTGCATGACTTGGCCATAATTAGCCCTTAATTTAGACAATTGTCTCACTTAGCCCAAGTTGGTACATTTGAAGCCTTCTAGTTACTTTGACCAAATTAAATAAATTGATTCAAGCCAAACATTGGTATCTATAACAATTGATTAATCATTATCGCCTCAACCTCAATTAGTTTTTTATTGAGCCTAATTTTACTAATTAGTGTGATTGACCCCATTAAACCTTTTAAGTCCAATTGATCAAATTGTTCAGATTAATTTTAACAAAGCCTTCAACTTGCCCTAAGCCAACATAAATAGCAAACTTAAAACTACTACTAATCGTTAACTAAGATAATAAGGGAAATTAGTGAAGGGATCAAACTATTTCAAGTTGATCAAGCATTTTCATTCATATGATATCATATGCTTGCATTTACAAACTTTAGTATGATCATAGCAATCCATCTTGCTAACACTAGTTACCTCAAGCAATTAACTAGGTTTTAGGTTTTAAGCCTCAATTAATGGCGGATTTAAGGACACACTACACGAGAACTGCCATTTACTTCCCTTACCACTGCTCACTCCCTTGCAATCATTTAGCCAATAGTAGAATATTGTCATTTTATCACTCCATTAAGTTTACTCTGTTTGGTTAATTTTAGAGAAAGGATTTGTCCTAATTTATTGAGCTAGAAGATAAATCAATGTTAGGATGAGAATCGATGCCTTCCATTCATACATTAATGGTTGTGATCAAGTAGGACTATTTGTTTGTCCATTTAAAACCCTATTAAGCACATTTCTTATGATTTTGTCGTTTAATTTTTCTTAGTTTAAACCCTAAATTTGCATTGCTTTGTTAAGAGATTTTCTCAAATTTATAGATTTATTTAATATTTTTTTAATAACTGAAATGTGTTATTTAAATTATTAATTATAGGAAAATTCATTTTTATAAAATACAAGAAAATTTATAAAGTAACATATAGTTTCAGAAAATCATATATCTATATATATATATATTATTATGCTCGCATGTGTGTATTCTAGAATGTTGGTTTCTTGGGAAAACTATTTACCGAGGACTAAAATTTTATGACTTATAGATGGTCTCATTAATCCATTAAAAGTTTAGTACTTTTATTATTTTCTGAACCGAATTTTGTTATCTTCTTTTACGACTTTTTTATTAAGTTTTTATTTTTAAAAATAAATAATGAATATATTTTTAATAATGTCAAATTTAACTTTTTATAATAAATTCAAAATTTGGATTGGGAGTGTCAATAAATAATCTGACCCCTCAACTCAACCTCTCAAGTCTAAACCTTAAAAATTCAAATTTTTGTATTGCATTCAAACCACTTTATTAAAGGTCTATTTCAAGTTGGTTTGCCAACTCGTTTTTAACAAAAAAAAAATAAAATAATAATAATAATTTTTTTCTTAAACTTTTTTATTTGTTGGTATAATCTTTCCATTTTTATCAACTAAATAAAAATTATGATCATAACTTAATAAAAGTATTTTGGTAATTAAAATGAATTATCGTTGGATTCGGCTTGCTAATGAATGAAAAAGTCAAACGTCCTTTTTATTTGCTTCCTCGCAACCCAATTTTCTCTCCACCCCGAAAAAGAGGGAAAGAAGACAAAGGAGAGAAGTTTACCGTGAAAAAATCTGAGTTCTCCAATTCGGCTGATTGGACTGCTTATGGATGAAGAAGAGCACACTCACAAGCAAGTCGTACGCAATCCGAACGGCGGCTCGAAGGAAGGTGCAAGAATCGATTTGGAGGATGAGGAGGAACTCGAGGCCGTCGAACTGGTCCTCTTCCACGTCAAAGAGTGCTACGTCTATTTGGTACCACCTCAATTTCTAGCTCCGCGACCTCGATTTTAGTCATTTTGTCTATTGAAATCGAGCAATGCTTTCAATTCCAAACGATAATTCTTTAAGTTATGTATTGTTCTTTGATTGACAGATACCACCGAGAAAGACCGCGGCTTCTTATAGGTTTGCTTTGTTAACCCCGTCTCTTGACTTGTTATTATGTTGACCTGATTGTTTTGTATTTAAGTACGCGATGTTTCATGCGTTGGTTAACTAGATGGAGATGAACGCGGTGGAAATAGGTGTTTTCGTTTGCTAATTGCTGAATTATGCTTTGCTTCATATGCGTGAACAAGGTTTATGTTTTGGTTGATTATTTTGTTTTGAAGTCATGAAGCTTAAACCGTGGGAAGACCTAATCTTAATCTTTTGACTTTAAACTCGGTGTTTGTTCTGTGTTTGTGAGAATGCTTCTAACTTTTACTGCTCCAATAAAATTTTGTTTGATTCTTCAAGCCATTTCGTGGAGAAATACATTACCAAGCTGTTGGAACTCGCTGCACTTGTTTCAAATATTTATGATACATGCATGTGGTTGATGGCATCCTTGATGCTTGGCTATACAAATGTGAGTTGGCTGTATTGGGGCTTTAATTTGGAGGTGACATTTTCACATGTAGATCTAACTTTCAAATCAAAGAGTGGTTTTTAGCACCTGAAGGTGATTTCTTTATAGCCTAGTTCAATGAGATAGATAAAGTTGTTAGCAAATCTTTCTGATTTGAAGTTGAAGCAATAGGAAAAGGCTATATTTCTTCAAGATTTTCTCAAAAGTTTGGTAAAAGAAAGAGATTAGAGGAGGCTCAATGTTCATCATTTAATGAAGGATTTTCTATCATGATAATGGGAGGAATGAAATCGTTTAAAGTAGGAGGATTTTGGAATTGAAAGAATAACTATATAGTCTAATTTGGTTTAGGTTATTGGCCATTGGTTTTAGCGGGTAGAGATTTAGCTCCATTTTCTTCTATTTATTTGTCAACAAAGAATAATTGCCAGATCTATCAAGGTCATTTTTATTTGGAAAAAATATGAAGAAAGACACGAGCTTATTTGCATGTTATAACGATTTCATTTGAATATTGGAATTGCAGGTGCCAACTTTTGATAAATTCTAGACCACTAATGAAACTAACAGCTTTTATGAAAGCTAAGGAATATTTTCAAACATAACATTTTTGTTAATACATGTATTAGAAAAAGATTTCGCTAGGGTATTGCCTCAAAATTATTTTTCTTAGATAAAATATCGTTAGTCCATATTGTATACAACGAGAACTAATCACACACTTTGACAAAGAGATTGTGATTATATATTTATGTATGGTATGTGATGAATTTTCCTCGCACTTGATTTGTTTGGCTTTTGCTATTTTTCACTCTAGTCGCTATAGCTTTATGAAAGGTTCTTGAAATTTACAGTGATAGTAAACTTTTTTCAAGGAGGGGATGTTATTGTTTGCTCACTTCAAGGAGAGTGGAACTTTATGTGCCTTTTAAGGAATATTGGTCCTCTGATCTTGGGCATTATGTGAAAGTAAAAGGAAAGCATGGTAATCTAAAAAAGACAAGTCTATTGCATGTAGAAACATTTGGCAGTAATTGTCAACAATGTATAAATAAAACATTATAGAAGGTCTGATACACTTACAACTGATAATCTCACTCAATTTCTCTTGTATAATGCATTACTGGTTATCTTGGCTCACAAAATTCAAGGTTGGTAGCATTTATAAATAATGCTACATATTCTTAAAATTCTTTAGACGGAGATACAAGCTTGTCCCCTCTTTATGGAAGGTCTGATACTGACACAGAGCCTATTGGTACAATTTTGCATACTTAAAAATTGTGCACGTTAGAAGTAGCTTGGTGAGTTAGCGATGTTGTCAGGTATATCATAATCCACTCCTTTTTGATCCCATCATTTTTTGGCATGATACAAGTGTTAATGTAATCACGAAATTGTTTTTGGTAATCAAACAACTTCTTTGTTGAAATTGAAATTTATTTTGCATGTCCCTTTTTTTTTCTTCTGTGAGAGAATAGTGGGAGGAGTTTGAGAGGTGGTAGAAAAGAAATTGATGGTCAAAGGCGGACATGATATTGGGGAAAAAAGATCCAGTGAGCACTAGTGTCTAGTAAGTGTAACTTGAGGATCTGAGGTAGACATCAGATGGGATTAGCGACATTGAGTGAGCATGAGTGTAAAATGGAGAGATGTGAGAGAGTGAGAAAGGGAGCTATAGGGAGAATGTGAGAAGTTCTATATGAAATTTGGCATCGGCTATGCCACAATTAACATGAAATTCATTTTAGGAGAAATGTAAATAAAAAATAATAGTAAGTGCATGATGGTGCTAATGAAGTTGGTCTTGACTTGGTCACTTGAATGACATTTATATTTTTTATTATGAATTCAGTAGAGGGCAATGTTGGAGAATTTTTTGTATTAATTCAAATGAGGCTCGATTAAAAGTAATTTTGCCTCGACGATGATCAATTGAATTGATCGAGCGCGATCGAGCTTTGTCGGGCTCGATCGGGGTCGAGTCGATGCGAAAATATTCGTCAACAGGCAATACAATGAGGATTGTTCATGAATATATAGGTGGTAGCGATAGAAGTAGAGAAACAAAATCTCATCATCCAAACTATTCTTTTTGGCTTCGCATTATAAGGGTTTCGAGTGACTATGAGCGAATGTTGGGTTGCATTTTTGTTTTTTGATTTGTTTTTGTTTTCAAAAGTAATTATGTTGTGTTTGGTCAGTTAATTTTTGTTCTTTTATGTTAATTTTCTGAATCAAATTAGTGGATGTCTATAAATTCTGAAAAAACCACGAGTTATTTTAATTTTTTTAAAACAACTGGTATGAAAATAGGAAACAAACATACATCCAAACATGTTTCTATTTTATCTGTAATAAAAAACAAAATATAAACATAACAAAACCAAAAAAAAGAAAACATGACAAAAACAAAACACAAACAAGCATGCCAGATGTTTCTGGGTTGTCTGAATACCCTCTTCTTCATGAAAAACCCACTTTCAATCCTTTGAAATTGAGGAACTTCACTTCTTTTCTTTGAAAATTGATCATGAAATTGTCATTTCATATATGTAAATGAAAAAAAAAGAAGTTAAAGTTAAGTCCAAGGAAGATGAAAATCTTGATTTTGTGACAAAAAAATCTACTTATAACGCCAAAAAAAAAAAAAAAAAACAATAGCTAATTTAAGCTAAATATGTTGTGAGATAAATCAGAATTAGTGAACCAATTTATTTTTTGACTTTGCGTTGTTAAACAAATGTTACTAGGAAATGCAGCTCTTTTGGACCTTGTTTTTGTTTGCTATGATCTTTCAAGCTGCAAATAAGCAAACCGGGGATGCACTAGTATTATATGATGTTTAGAGCGCTTGAGAGTGAGTTGCTTATAGTAACTTCCATCTCCATGCGTATGGAAGGCAACATGACCCCACTTTACGTTGAAATGCATTGTTTATTTTAGTTTAATAATTCATCTTCATAAGTCTTAGCCTTTCGTATGTAGTCGATCATTTTCCTACAAGAATATTCATTACTTTTTGTTGCATATAATTGTAATCCGGTAATGATATCTAGGGCTGATGAATGGAATGTAAATAAATGGCACTGGGAAGGTGCATTGAAAGTCGTAAGCAAGGGAGAGGAGTGCATTATTAGACTGGAAGACAGAACTACAGGTGAGACTATTCAATCGGCAATGGAAACAACCAAATTGGAAAAATTTATTGAGAACCATCATAAAAAGTAATAATCATGTTATATTGTGTATCAGGGGAACCTTTTGCCAGAGCATTTCTGAGAACAGGAGAGCCAAACCCAGTGGAGCCTGTTATCGATAGCAGCAGGCACGTTGCTTTTTATCTCATAAACCTATAAGGCTATTTCTCCAACTCAGGGATTATGCATGAATATCAGGATAATTGTTTTTTTTCTGATCTTGTATATTTCAAATCCAGCCTTCAATATTTGAGAATAGATTTTTCTAAGGTGCAATCCTTTATCCTTTCTTCCTCTCCAGGTATTTTGTGCTTCGAGTTGAAGAGAAAATCGGTCAGTTTCTCATTTTTTATTGTATGGGGACAATTTAGACTGTTTTAAGCTTTGAAATTGTTATTTCAAAATTTAGGCATGCCATAACCCTCTTGTTGAGTAATAATTTTTCGTAAAGCTCCGCTTTTGTTCAGTTTATCATTATGTCATTAATTCCGAGCTTCTATTATTTTCTTGAAGATAGCTTGTTGATCTAAAAAAATCTGAAACATGTTAGGATGCGTGTTACAAAGATTATATGCATACCTCATTGGTCTTCATGCTGACGTGTTTATACCCTATAACAATTAAGGTAGGTAATGTTTAGAGTCTATATTCTAGTAAGTTTATTTTCCATCAGTTTAATGTGAAAAAATACTTGAATGGCTCAGAAAAAGCTGGATAAACTGAGATAAATTGCCAAATATCCTTGTAAAGCAACAAGCTAGGGTGACTGAAATGCTATATTTGATGCCTAGTTTATTGATTTTGATGGGTATTAATGTCTTTTGCTGTCAAGTGTCAACAAAACCTTTCGTCTAATAGACATATTTCACCATCAACTCTACTCTGTACAACTCTTTTTGTAAAACTTTTAGCTATTATGGTCTAATCATTACATTCATCCTATCTATTTGGCTTACCGGTGTATGTTTCTTCTGCTTTCCATCTTCTACTCTCATTGATATAGAAGAAATCTTTCTTGTGAAAAAATGATCAAAAGTATCTTGAAGCATTCTTCATATTGGACATTCTAATGTCTAGGATTTTTAATGAAAGTATTGTATGCAAAGCAAATCTAGCATGCAATCAACTTATGCAACAAATATATAAATTTTATAGAAAAGCATGATATTAATCTCAAACAAACAGTGCTATAGATGAAAAAAAATGGTAAATTCTATTCAAACGATAAGGTTTTGGTCTTAAGCAATAGATAAGAAATAGAGATTAGTGTGAAGAAAGAAATCAAATTATAACAAATTTAAAAGAACACAATCTGACTTTCAAGCGGTCATGCAAAAAAGGAAAAAAAAAAAAAAGAAAAGCCAGAGGAGAGAAAGACAAAGGTGAAGAGAAGTAAATGGCTGATAGGCAAGTGATATGATTCTTGAAGTATTAAGAAGATGAACGCCTTTTAAGTGGATGCAAACTCCTTAGAAACAAATCTAGAAAAGAGAAGAAGCAGAAATTTTATTTGTTAGTCTTTAATTACAGCAATTGTGGGTATTTAAATCTTGCGGGTGTTCGCTGGGCTGGTATGCATGTTATTTGGACCGTTTGTGTTATTCAAAAGCTGCAGGCAATTAAAATAAATTAATTTATTAATAGGAGAACTGGACCGAAGGTTTAACTGGCTGAAGTTGGTCGGAGTTGTGGCTTCATTTGCTGAACTTGGGCAGACCAGCTGAGAGTGATCACACCGGAGGTGGTCTGTTTGAAGTCTGCGGCTAGCAGTGTGTTGGAGATGTTTGTATTGTGTAGTTGCTTTGTTTTGGTTCATTCTTCTACTTTGATAGACCTTGATGTTTGTATTGTGTTTGAGTTTGTTCTTTAAGATTTCTGGACCAAGTTTCATACTGTTTTTGTAGTCTTTGGATCCAATAGAATGCGTTGGTGCTTAATACTCTCATCATCATGAAAAACAATCTTGTCTTCGAGGTTAAGAGATGAAATGAAGAAAAAAGAGCTAAAAAATTCTCCCATGTGGCATATTCAGGATTCGTGAGTGTCCATTGTAGAGTACCTGTATGTGAGGCTGACCACAAAGTTGATTAAGACAGAAAGCAATAATTGCATAAGGTAAATTGATGGACTAATTTTGATGTGTAAAAGTTGGTGGAGTGATTGTGATCAGTGGATTGCCTTTAAAGGGTTTGAGAATTGAAATATGGAAAGTGGATAAATCTTGCTTACTAGTGCCACTTCACTAATAATAGATTGATCACGAAAATGTCCAAAATAACAATTTTCCAGCTTAGAATGTGTATGATTAAGTGATTAACTACCGAAGATTATCAAAAAGGTTGGAGCTTTACCATCGCCAAGTTACCTATGGATAAATGTAAATCGCTATGATGACGAATTGCCATAACTTCTATTGTGTTAAGCTTGGTGCATATTCTGTTGAAGATTCTGTAAGTGTGTGGTGATCTATCAATAAAGTGTCAACGGCGTCAATATGGGATGTTCCACAAATATATGATGGGATGGAGGGTGGTAATTTGCCTAATATGGAGTCATCTAAGTAGTTGCAACCTGCATGAAATGAGGTATTATAACATTATTTTGCCCAAGAGAGAAAGGTGGACCACAATTTTGGAGTGGAAGAGGTATAAGCATGGTGATATTGTTCTAAACAATGATTGATATAAAAATTGATGATAATTTTCAGGGGAAACTTTTGTGCTAGTATAAGGCTGAGATTTTATATTTGATAATTTATTTCCTCTTCGTTTTCATCTATATACTCTTTGATTAGTTTTGTGTGTGATTGAGAATTGGTGAAGAGCAGCTACAATTTAGTTTTTCCTTTGTGGTGCAAAGCCTAATCATTGTTTAATTATATTTGTTTTCTAGATTTCACAAGTATATTCAGAATCCCCTTTTCCATGTCATCAAAAGATTCTTTTGCTATTTAGGGGTTATTTGGCTGGCTAAAAAAGGAATGCAGTGTAAACTTTGGAGTTGTTTTAATGAATGTAAAGTAAATGCAAGTGAATGATTTTTTTTGTTGGGTTTGAAGCAAGGGTGTAATTGAGCCGAGTCCGCTCGTGAGCCGACTTGAACTCGACTCGTTAATGAGCTCGCGAGCCGAGCTTATAGCCGTGCTTGCGTAGTACACGAGCTCGAGTTTGAGCACAACAGTTTGAGGCTCGAGAGCTTGTTGAGCCAGCTTGATAAAAATTAATATAAAATAATCCCTCCTATATAATTCGCAAAGCCCAACAGCCCTAGCCCTAATTTCATTCGGGAGTATCGGACGACAGACATCTATCTTCTTGCCCTCATCTTGTGTGACCTAGCGAGTGCAAGACGAGGTAGTTTCGACACCAATACGCGGTTCACACTCTATTTCGAATCTTCTTCTTTGATGTTGAACACTTGTAGAGATTCATACTTCATTTTGAACTTCATATTAGATGAACTAAGCAGTTTTTCTATGTTCCATATTCTACAAATTTTCTTCTTTAGTCCTCTTACTTACTAATGTTATTTCCTTGTGAATGAAATCATTTATATATTTCTTGTCTGGTTTTTTAGTCGTCTGAATATTCCAAGCGAGTGCTTATTTGGTTATTTTCCAGGCGAGTGAATGAAATCGTTCATGACTTCATCTATTTTTCTTCTTTCTGTTTTTATCTTCTGGGTTGATTCTTCCGAAGGGTAATGACTAATGACGTAGCATGAAGATGATTTTGTTATTGCAGTTGGTAAAACTTTCTATTATAGCCGATGTTCGTGATGTAGCTGAAATTTATCTATTACAGTTGTTAAAACTTTCTGACTTACATGAAGATGATTTTGCTATGAATTATAAAATATCCATATTTTTCCTATGGTAATGATGTAGCATGTTTGGATGGTCTAAAGCTTCTCAGGCAACCACATCCATTACCTAGATGATTCATGAAAATTATTGTTTGTTGACAGCTGCTAGCTTGGTACAATTGTTCTATTTTATATTTTTGAAATGTAATTTGTGGTTCTTTACTTCTTTATGTATTTCAAATATGTTTATATTATTAGCGTTTGAATTTGATGATGTCTATTATAATCTTGACAATACTAATATAATCTTTTTTTTAGAATGTCAACACCAATAAGTATGAAAGAGGATAACATTGAGATTATAAATATTGAGACTGAAAGACTTGATGATCAGCTTCACTTTTATGTTGGTAGTCATCTTGGAAATGAGAATGATTCACATAATGATAACAATGATATTAATAAAGAGGTTGAAAGGTGGACTAATGAAAATCAAATGAATGATGTTTAAGAAGTTGATGATATTATAAGAAGAAGGAAAAGAAAAAAAACATCCAAAGTTTGGAATGAGTTTAAGTTATTCTTCCTGATGGATAAAGAAAGGGAGAGTGTATATATTATAAAAAATAACTAGCTATAGGAGGTACTGGTGCAATCACCCAATTTAAAAGACATTTGGACCGTTGTGCCGGTAGGATTCATGCTTTAAAAAAAGAAAATCTTACATTTTCAACCAATAGATATGGAGAACTCATTTGGTCAGAGTAGTCAAGATGGTAGAATATTGATCGTCTTTAAATATGATTTTTAAAAATTAGAGAGATGATAATACATTACATATCAAATTAATGAGAAACCATTTTCAATTGTTAAAGAAATTTCGATTCAATTTAATTTTGAAGTTAATGTCACATTTTTTTGTGAAGTACTCAAGAGCAACAACACACAATGATGTGATACAAGTATATGAAAGAGAGAAAAATATTGAAAAATATTTTAAAGAGCATTAACAAAATTAGTTTTATTGCAAATTTATGGAAGTAAAAAAATAGAGAATATCGTATATGTTAGTTACAACTCATTACATTGATTCACAATGGAGGTTACAGAAACGAGTTTTAAGTTTCTTGCATTTTCTACCACCACCACATACAGCTATTAAAATTATTGATATCTTCTACGAGTCTATTTGTGAATGAGGTGTTAAGGACAAATTATTTAATATATAAGTTAATAATGCATCGAACAATGATAGGGCAATGAAGCTTTTAAAAGATAGTTTTAGAGCGAAAAAAAAGTATTCTTTGGAGAAAAGTTATTTCATGTTCGTTATTGTGCTTACATACTAAACCTAATGGTGAATGATAGTATAAAAGTGTTGAGTATATTATTGATAAAATTAGAGACACAGTGAGTTTTGTTAACACATCTGAAGCTATATTAGTTATATTTTTTGAGGTTGTATAACAATTATAATTACCAACTAGAAATATAGGAATGAATTGCCCAACACGTTGGAACTCAACATA